AACTGGACTGTAGTGGGTGAACAGACCCAGCTGGAGATCTCCACACGTGTGCCAGGCTCCTACTGTGTGCAAGTGGCTGCAGTCACTGGTGCTGGGGCTGGAGAGCCCAGTAGCCCTGTCTGCCTCCTTTTAGGTGAGAGAAAGGTCCTATCCATACCCTTCAGCCCCCATGTCATCCTCCTGTCTCCCTGTTCCTTTACACTTTCACCTCCCCCTTGTCTGTTGGTCCCTTACTGTCCCATTGGCCCTCTCTCTGAGCTCCACATCCCATACAGAGCAGGCCATGGAGCAGTCAGCCAGAGACCCCAGTAAACATGCTTCCTGGACCCTGGATCAGCTGAGGGCCACATTAAGACGACCAGAAGTCATCGCCAGTTGTGCTGTCCTGCTCTGGGTGCTGCTACTAGGCATTGCTGTGTGTGTCTATAGACGGCGCAAAGCTGGGGTTCACCTGGGCCCAGGTAAGAGAGGAGAGCCCGTGTATATAGGTCTCCCTGGGTCTAGCCAGAATACCACAGGAACTTCTATCTCTAGGAAGATGTTGGGCTCTTCATTTAGCTGTTGCCCCATTTTCTTCCAGGTCTGTACAGATACACCAGTGAGGATGCCATTTTAAAACACAGGTGAGAGGCCAAAAGGGAATCCCTAGGAAGGGCAGGGTGAGTCTCGTCAGAGAATGAGATGGAATTTAGTCTACCCTCCTGCCAGACAGTACCTGAAGCCCTCCTGGACTCTGTGACATCGAATCTCTTTCACTGTAGCCTCTTGACAGCCGAGCAACCCGAATCATAAAACCTAAATGTTTTGGCCAAAAGCATCACAGCTGGCCTCTGAACACCTTCCTGTTGTTCCTGTCACCTACTCTCTCTACTCCTGCTCTTAAGTGACTAGGAGCTGGCAGGAGACAACCAGCTCTAGTGTCTTGATTCCTCTGTGTTCCCAACGTCGACCTGTTATTTATTGTCTTTGCATTCTGTGTGTTGTCTGCCTCTTGAGCCATCTACCTGTCTTGCACATGCTGCTCACTTCCAGCAGGGGGAGATCAGCCCTAGGTCATTGACCGTTCAAACCAGCGCCAAACAATAGGTACCTCTGTTCCAACTGCTTCATTACCAGAGCTAGTCTGTAGCCATAAGACAAAATTCTAAGAAAACAACAAAACATTCTTCCTATGTACCCCATTCCACACACACCACTGGCTGAGGTTTACACTTAAAAATATTTTTTCTCTCTGTCAACTTCATTAGACTTTATGCTCTGAGTATGAATTATTTGAGAAGCACTTACTGAGTACCCACTGTGTACTGGATATATAAGTCCCATGGGCTACCAGTTTTCTTTCAACGAGGTTCCAGGCTGCCTGGCATCATGTTCTGAGTTTTCTCTTGCTCTCTGGCTTCTCTCTTCCAGCTGCCTCCTGCCTCCTGAACTTTGTTCTGCTCTGCTTCCCTGGACCACTTTCTTTGTCCTCAAGGGAAATTCTATCCAGATAGTTTATCTATTCCTTTGGGATAGTCTTTACCCACCAGGAACTTGAAGACAGGCAGAGGCAGGCAGGAGAGAAACCTGCAGTTGGATATGCAGCATGACCCAGATATAGGGAGGGGGCTAGAGAAACAAAAGAATGAGGAGCCCACACACTCTACCCCATCGAGAAGAGTGTGGAGTGGGAGAAATTGCTTGCTATATTCACAGGGAAATGTAAACCGTTGTTCTGACTGGGGTGTATGGTATCAGAACAAAGGATAAAATTAGAAAGCTGCAAGCCAGACCAAGGAAGATGCCATGGTGCACATCTTAACTCTGATCTTGGTAAACAGGGAGCAACTGAAGCCTCTAGACAGAGAAGTAGTTCTATCAAATTGCTGCTCTTGATGGATTATTCAGGCAGCTGGAAGCCACCATTCACCACAGCAAGCTACTATTCTGCCAGCAGTGATTTAGAATTTTCTCAGCTCAATTCACAGCATCAGTCTTGTGTGGAGGCTCTCTCTGTTGCCACTTAATAATGTGGCTTGGAGAGACTAATTTATTCCTTGGGTTGTACAGCTAAACTATGGCAGGTGGGGATTTTCGATCCATGTTTGCTTGGCTCCATTTTGTTCTTTTCATCTCCATATCCACAGCTGTCTTTCCCCTAATACTCCCTCTCCAGCTCTGGGCAGCTTAGTCTTCCCCTGATCCCAAGATAGAAAGATACGATGAGTTCAGGGGCAGAGGTCTGGGGAGGGGGACAACTGCAAAATAATGAAAGATAGCTCTAAGGGTGAAGCAAACACTACCATCTACTCCTGCTGCTGCCCTC